CTGAGCCACCCAGGTGCCCAATATCACAGTTTTTTGATTACTGTAGTTTTATATGTTTTGAACTTGGGAAATGTGAATCTTCCAGTTTTTTTTTTTTCAAGACTGTTTTAGCTATTGGTACCCCTTTGCAATGCCACATAAATTTGGTACTTAGCCTTTCCATTTCTGCTAAAAAAGATGGCCACTGGAATTTTGATTGTGATTACACTGGGTTTGTAGATTGCTTTCAATGTATTGACATCTTAATACATCCATGAACACAAGATAACATTTCACTTATTTAGATATTATTTAATTTCTTCCAGTGATGTTTCTTAATTTTCCGTATACAAGTCTCCTCTTCCTTGGCTAAATTCATTCATATGTATTTTATTCTTTTCGATTCTTCTTCTTATTATTATTATTCCTTTAGATTATATTATGAATGAAACTGCCTTCTTAATTGCCTTTTTGGAATTTTAATTGCTGGTATTTGAAAATGATTAATTTTGGTGCGCCTGGGTGGCTCAGTCGGTTAAGCATCTGCCTTCCACTCAGGTCATGTTCCCAGGGTCCTGGGATTGAGTCCCATGTCAGGCTCCCTGGTTAGTGGGGAGTCTACTTCTCCTTCTGCCTCTCCCCTCCCCCTGTTCATGTTACTCTCTCTCTCACAAATAAATAAAATCTTTTAAAAAATTGATTTTTGTGTGTTGATCTTGGACCCAGTAAACTTTGATGGGTCCATTTATTAGCTCTGGAGCTTTCTCGTGGATTCTTTGGGATTATATATATATAAAACGTATATAGTCACCTGCAAATAGTTTTACATCTTCTTTTTCAATTTGGATGCTTTTTTTGGGGAGGGGGATCTAATTCTGGCTAGAAATTCCGTACTGTGTTGAATAGCAATAGTGAAAGTAGAATCCTGATCTCAAGGAGAAAGCTCCCAGTCTTTCACCACATTAGCTGTGGGATTTTTGTTTGTTTGTTTGTTTGTTTTTGAAATTCTCTTTATCATGTTGAGGAAGTTCCCTTCTATTCCTAGGTTATTGAGAGATTTATGATGAAAGAATGTTGGATTTTTGTCAAATGCCTTTTCTGCCTCAGTTTAAATAATCATGTCCCTCCTCCCCTGCTTTGTTTCATTAATGGCATTATTACATTGATTTTCTTAAGCCAGACCACCCTTGCATTCCCAGGGTAGTGTCAGTCTTGGTAATTTTAATCATTCTAGCAGGTTTCTCATTGCTTCCATTTGCATTTTCTTGATGACTAATGATATTCAACATCTTTTTGTGCTCATTAGCCATTGGTGTATTTTCTTTTGTAAAGGGTGTGCAGAGATTTTTAACTGGATTGTTCATCATAATATTGAGTTGTACAATCTTCACATATTATGAATACAAGGTCTTTACCGGATAAATGTATTGTGAATATTTTTTCTTCTCTTCAGCCTGTTTTTTCATTTTCTTATGTAATTCAAGGAGTAAGAGTTTTTATTATTTATTTATTTATTTATTTAAGACTTTATTTTTAAGTAATCTCTACACCCAATGTGGGGCTCGAACTCACAACCCTGAGATCAAGAGTCACATGCTCTAACCATCTAAGCCAGCTAGGTGCCCCCAAGGAGTAAGAGTTTTTAAATTTCAGTAAATAGTTTTTCTTGTATGGTTTGTATATTTTGTTCTAAGAAACCTTTGCTTACCCAAAGTTTGCGAAGATTTTCTCATTTTCTTTTAGAAGTTTCATAGTTTTAGCATTTGCATTTGGATCCATTTATTTCTAGTTAATTTTTATGTGTGAGGTGAAGGTCGCAAATGGGACATGCGGTTGTTCCAGCCTTAGGTGTTGAAGATTTCCCTTTGCCCCACTGAATTACCTTGGAGCCTCTGTAGAGAATCTCCAGTGCCCATAAACACAGACACATCTGGACTGTCCTCGTACCACACCAGTTTGATTACCGTACCACTGAGTTTCAAAACCAAGAAGTACATGTCCTGCGATTTTGTTCTCAGGTTTCATTGGCTATCTTTTCTTTCTCTCTCTCTCTTTTTAAAGATTTATTTATTTATTTGAAATGTGGTGGGAGAACACTGGGAATAGGGGCAGAGGGGGAGGGAGAGAGAATCCCAGACCCTGCAGTGAGTGAAGAGTGGAGCCCAACCTGGGGCTCGATCTCATGATCCTGAGATCACGACCTGAGTGGAAACCAAGGTCTGACCCTCAACTGACTGTACCACCCAGGCGCCCCTCACTGGCTATCTTCTAAGTCACCTGCATCCCTGCATGAATTTTAATAGCCTGTCCACTTGTAGACACTGCTAGGACTTTGAGGTGGTACAGGTCTGCGGATCCATCTGGAGGGAACTGACATCGTCACAACATGGCGTCTTCTACTCCACGAGTAGACTGTGTCTCCTCATTTATTCAGGTCTCCTTCTTTCAGCAGTGGTTTATAGTTTCCATTGCACAGGTTTTGCGCACATTTTGTTAAATTTGAGAGTCTTATGTTTTTGGTCCTATTGTAAGTGAAAATGAATTTTGATTCATTTATTTGCAATTTTTAATTTCATGTTCCAATGGTTCATTGCTGGTACCCATAAATACTATTGATTTTTTGTGTATTGACCTTGCCTCCTGCGACTTCGCTAAACTCACTTATTCTAATAGCATTCTACAGATTCCTTAGGGTTTTCTTGATTAACAATCATGTCATTGGAAAAAGTTTTATTTTGTCCTTTCTAGTTGGTATGCCTTTTATTTCTTGCCTTTTCGTAGGTGACCCTGTACAACACTGAATACAAGTGGTCAGAATGACCATTTTTGCCTTGCTGCTGACCTGAGGAAGAAAAGCAAGTCTTTTTCACCTGGGTATTTGATATTAGCTGTGAGTTTTTCAGAAATGCCCTTGATCAAGTTAAGGAAGTCCTAGTTTTCTCAGAGTTTTTATCATGAATGGTGTATGAACTGTACACACTTATTGGTATGGTAATACGGTTTCCCTGTTTGTTAAAATGGTGAATTATATTGAGTGACTTTTTTTTTTTAAGATTTTATTTATTTGACAGACAGAGATCACAAGTAGGCAGAGAGTCAGGCAGAGAGAGAGGAGGAAGCAGGCTCCCTGCTGAGCAGAGAGCCCAATGTGGGGCTCGGTCCCAGGACCCTGGGATCATGACCTGAGCTGAAGGCAGAGACTTTAACCCACTGAGCCACCCAGGCGACCCATATTGAGTGATTTTTGAATGTGAAAACAACATGGTACTTCTGGGGTTAATCTCAATTGGTTGCGATGCTGTATTTTCTCGTGTATATTGTTAGATTGGATCGACTAGTATTTGTTAGGGATTTTGTGTCTAAGTTCACGAGTGATGTTGGTCTTTAACTACCTTTTCTTATTGTCTTGTCTGGTTTTGGTCTCAGAGTGATACTGGTCCCATGAAACAAACTGGCAAGTACACTCTCCTTTCTGAGGTGTTTTGTCAGATGGGTATGATTTCTCACTTAAATGACTGATAGAAATTACTGAAGAAGCATCTGGACCTGGAGTTTTGTGAGGTTTTCATTTGTGTTATTCAAGGCTATTTGGGGTTTCAATTTTGTTTTTGTTTTTAAAGGTTTTATTTGAAAGACAAAGAGTGAGCCAACGAGAGACAGAGCATGAGTGGGGAGAGGGGCAGTGGGAGAGGGAGAAGCAGATGCCCTGCTGAGCAGGGAGCCCAATGTGGGGCTCCATCCCAGGACCCTTAGATCACAACCTGAGCCAAAGGCAGATGCTTCACAGACTCAGCCACCCAGGCACCCTAGAATTTTACTTTTATTCTTTATAGTGCTGACACCTGGTCAGAGAGAATGAACTCGAATTTCTACTTCCACGGGTAGCAAGAACCTCAATTTCTTCATTTTGATGCCTCCTTCCCAAACTCATGTGCCTCACCCGACACTAACTTCTTTAAGCTGCTAGGATTTCTTGTTCCTGGAGCTCCAGCACCCAGCTCAGTCCTAGGCACGCGGCAGGCACACACACGTTTGTGGAGGTGCAAGGTGGCAACCGCCACTGCTCACGGTCTGCACCGATCTCAGGGCAACAGGCAGAAAGTTGAGTTCAGGAGTCCCTCTCATTAGAACCAGGGAGGAGAGATCCCTGTCTCTCAGCACCCTAAACACAGGAAGAGCTAAACTGACCTAGAATCCTTCAGGAAATTTTTAGCTTACCTAGCTTTTACAGGGCTAGTGCATGGGGCACGATAGATGTTGATCTCTGAGGTTCTTCAAACGGCAGATGGCACCAGAATTTGTGCCCAAGCCTTGATCAGCTCATTCTTTTCGAGGGTGGAGATAACGTGACAGGATGGAAAGCAGAGATGGGACTGGGGAGATACAAACCTGCAGGGAGGGATGTGTGTTTCCGGACGTAAGCATCACACGAATACAGGTGGAAACACCATACACACTGCGCGGGGAAGTATCCAGGGGTATATGAGTATTACTGAAACCCACAGAAATCCACGAGAGTTCGGCAGGTCATGTCAGTGGGAAGACAAAAATCAGTCTCTCTTTGAACTAGGGGATAAATGCCCACAAAGCCAGCTGCTCAGCAAGCGGGTTCACAGCCAAAGGGTTTCTCTGTTCTTTTCCGACCTTCCCTCACTCTCTTTCAATTCCTGCCCCCTCCGCACCCTGCCGCCCCAGCATGCCCCAGTTCACACCTGTCCTTTCAAAATAAGGCCTGCTTTCCAATTTCAAATCCTCTCAGCATAATACACAGATTCACAGCAGTGGATTTTGATTTTTAAATCCGAAGGAATGAGTTTTCAGAGTAAATTTCAGTTCCTGTGTCAGGCAGACAGGGGAACGGTTTAGAACCAAAAGAGCTTTCACGTAGAGACCTCTTAAACTTCCCAAAATAGAATGCCATCTGCTTGTGGGGCCAGACCAACCTCTCAAGGCATTTCACTGTTGCTTTAAAGCCATTTTTCTCAGTATCCCACGGCTCAAATAAACTCTCGGAGACGCGGTGTTGGTGTCATTTTAAATTACAAGCTTGATCTGTTACCCTCAAATACAGTTTTTTGGGGAAGATTAGTTACAAATAGTTGTCAGTACTTTCAAATGGCAGAAAAAATTACATTGTAGTAAAACCGGATGATTTTTTTATGCGTGAGATAACAATTTCTTCTTTTTTTTTTTAAATCACCAGATGGAATTACTCCAATTCATGCAATAAATGACTATTACATTTTTTTAAAAGTTGCCCTAAGTTTTTCTAGTTGAGATTTTGTGCTCATTTTAAGTCAAGATACCAAGACACTCCTGAGCTCACCTCACACTCCCTGGGAAGCGTGAGGACACACATGGTTTGTCTGACACCCAACTGGGCCCCTGAGAACCAGGTAGTCTGTCTCAGTCCTTGTGCCTCAGTGTGAGGTCTTCGGCTTCAGAAACGGGTGGCCCTGGTGGCCTTTAGGCAAATGTGATGCTACGGATTATTTAGGACTTTGATAGTGACCTAAAAGAGGTGAACAGGAGGGAAATTCTGATTTATCTTGACATAAAACTGGCAGAAATCCCCACCACCAAATTCCTGTAACTAGAAATCACGAGGGTTAAACAGAAGAGGTTTGTCTCTGATGGGGATGCCCCGCACGGCAGACTTGGGTGAATGTCTTTTCTAGAACCACGTGAGATAGTACCATCAACATTTTACATAGTTTACATACCATCTGAATACAAATTCTTAAAATTTATAATAGAACATTAAAATAATCCTCTAATAAAATCAGCCTTAAGTATAAGGAATCTAAATTTTAGTCTCTTGTACACTTCTAAATAAATATCTTTGATCTATAATCCTTGAAAATATTACAGTTTATGGTACATGATAGAGACAAGTCAAATGGTATTATAAGTGAAAATAAAACACCGACTTAAAAATGAACAAGCCTAAAAATACACTGAACTGAAATTGTAGAAAATCAAAACACTAAGTACATAGCAATTAAATCCATAGCATCGGGATAACTGAACGCATGCTCAACAACAGACTTCCAACTTATATAAAAAGCCCTTTAAAATTCATATAATCTAAATAAATAAGAGAAACACACAGGGAGGTACTGTACCAGCCAGTAACAACTAGAAAGTAATTTCTCCCTTTTTCTTTCAAGTGATCCTAGCAAAAAACATGAAATAATGGTCACTTGCTAAAAAACTAGAATTCATGTGTTCTGTTTCTGTTAAAAGGCTGCCTATGCTATAAAAAGCCAAAGTGAGGCTTTCTAAATGTTAGACCACTGTACCTTAGAAAAGGAAATGCCACCGAACTGACAGATTGAAACAAAAATCACTTACCTATTTAAGATATGATTGAATTTTCGCTTAATGATCCCGTAAGAGGTCTAAATCAAGCCCATGATATGAATGCAAATTCGAACATCTGAATGTGTGATTTGTTAATACTGAATTATATATCATGATTTAATTTCATTTGCCAAAGTAGGAGGTTATTTTACATAAGACCAGAATTAAAACATCTAGAGCAGGAACTAAAATCTTCTGGATCTTTGTATTCTGGGTCTTAGATTCTCAGAACCTAATAACAGGTGCTCACCTACTGAGAAGTGGGTCTAGCATTCCTCATTCCTCAGGAAGCACTAAACCCATGATGAAGCCGGGTGTCTGAGACTTAGAAGGAGCTCTTTAGTTTTTCCTCTTTACCTCTAGGCCTGTGATTAATTTCTGGCTAGCTAATCAAATTAATTGTCCCAGATCTATCACAGTGTCTGATTTTGGGCTGAGATTTCTACAACTCATCTGTTCCACAGTTAAGCCTTCCATCTGTGCCCACACATCTGTAGTCAGGTTCAAATGAAGATCATCTTTGTTATTCTATGTCAGGTATTTGCTTATGACAACCGTCTGAAACAGACATGCACGCATGTGCAAGCGCGCGCACACACTCACACACGATCTTCTCACAGATGAAGAATGGAATCTGGAAATAATGCACAAAGCCTAAATTACACAGCTCCCAAAGCTAACTAAAAAAAGACAATGAAACCGTAAGGTAACTCCTTTTGATTATACACAAACTTATTGCGTGATGGCTGGAAGCGATGTCTTTGGACCAACAAATGTAAACCAAGTGTCCTTTAACCATTAGCTTGACGAGGCAGCTAAAAATGGTGGGGCTCTACCAGCGCCCTTGAAGTTCTGCTGGGCGTAGCTCGCTACACTAGGAAGCAGCACGGAGCGGGTGGACGTGCTCTCCGAAGCCCATTCCTTCCATCCACGATGCTCGGATGGCCCTGTGCCTCAGGGTTGTTCTGAGAGTGCCTCTGGATCACCATTTAGAGCTGCCATTTCTGGAAGTCCAGGGCTCCTTGCTGCGGGGAGGGGATGCATGTTACAGAACTCTGAAAATAAAGTTTAGAAAGTTTCTCTCTTTGATTCTCACTGCCAGCATGCCTGTGCCTCTTGAGCGCCGCTAGGAGAGGTAGATCCAGTGTTTCAGTTCCGCCATTCCCTGCAGTAGCTTAGTGTAATAGAAGTCCACGTTGTCCGCAAACTCTGTACAAACGGGCGACTCCATGTCACCAAAAGTGCAGTACAACGCAGTTCCTCCGACACTCAGGAAAACCGTTGCTATGCACAGCAGGACCAGTAAAATACAGGAACCACCTCCAACTTCATCTGCGAACAGGAGAACAGAGTAAGGGTAAATTGGTGCAAAATGGAAATCCCGGTGTCTGCTGTCTTCTCGCTGATCATGGTAAGTAGACGTTTCTAGTTAACCTGAGTCCTCCAGGGGCACGAGTTGCTGACAGGAAGATAGTGCATGTGAGGACTGCATGGGACCCACCTGTCAGTCACCACAGACATACACCTGTCAGTCACCACACACACATACCCGTTAGTCACCACAGACACACACTTGTCAGTCACCACAGACACATACCCATCAGTCACCACAGATACACACCTGTCAGTCACCACATACACATACCCATCAGACACCACAGATACACACCTGTCAGTCACCACACACACCTGTCAGTCACCAGACACATACCTGTTAGTCACCACACACACACACCTGTCAGTCACCACACACACATACCCGTCAGTCACCACAGACACACACTTGTCACCACACACACACACCTGTCAATCACCACACACCTTTAAGTCACCACATACACCTGTTATCACAGACGCACACCTGTCAGTCACCACAGACACACACCTTTTAGTCACCAGACACATACTTGTTAGTTACTGGAGACACACACCTGTCACCACACACACCTGCTAGTCACCACAGACACATACCTGTTAGTCACCACAGACACACACATCTGTGGAGCCCGTCAATGTTAAAATGAAAACGAGTTCATTTACACAATGAGTATAATCGCCTCTATTAAAAAAGAAAAGAAGGACAGTTCTTTTCTGGTATGCTCATAGCCTTATTTTAGGGTACAAATTACAATCTCAATATTACAATATCTTTGGAGTTCACATCATGAGCTCACCTTAAAGCAAGGTCAATTTGATATTAAACAATAAAAAATTTTCTTTGGGTGGGATCACTTTTGCATTCTACTCACTTTTTAAAAAAAAAATGTTATTTATTTGAGAAAGAGAGAAAGCAAGCAAGAAGGGACAGCAGCAGACAGAGGGAGAAGCAGACTCCCCACTGAGCAAGGGGCCCGATATGGGACTTGATCCTCGGATGCTGAGATCATGACCTGAGCCGAAGGAAGACGCCTAACCCACGGAACCACCCAGATGCCATTGCTCAATTTTACTCTTATCTTTTAGTGGAACAGTGATGTTCTAGCTAGTACAGTGATTTCTTTTTATTTTGCTTAATAACGGGCAGGACTGTTTTTAATAAAAATGTCCATATCGGTCTCTCAATATTAAGAAAACAGCTATTCCGGGGCACCTGATTGGCTTAGTGGGTTAAAGCCTCTGCCTTCGGCTCAGGTCATGATCCCAGGGTCCTGGGATCAAGCCCCGCATTGGGCTCTCTGCTCAGCAGGGAGCCTGCTTCCCTTCCCTCTCTCTGCCTGCCTCTCTGCCTACTTGCAATCTGTCAAATAAATAAATAAAATCTTTCTAAAAAAAATAAATAAATAAAAATGTTTAAAAAAAAGATTTTATTTATTTACTTGACAGAGAGAGACAGCGAGAGAGGAACACAGGCAAGGGGAGTGGGAGAGGGAGAAGCAGGCTTCCCGCTGAGCAGGGAGCCTGATGCGGGGCTCGATTCTAGGACCCTGGGATCATGACCTGAGTCGAAGACAGACGCGTAACGACAGCCACCCATGCGCCCCTTCACAGTTTATTTTAAAACATTTGTCTTGTTTGTTTTATTGACAGGTGTTAACACTGTTTAGAGCTCCATGGCCAAACCTGGAGGCCGTGAGGCACAGGCGGCTGCCGGGCAGAAGCTAAGTGACCAGGCTAAGATGTGATGGCCACCAAGTATGTAGGAACGTCCTCTGAGAATCCAGGGCTCCTCTTGGTAAGCAACGATTCAGTGCCACTCGTGCAGAGAACCGAGCACTCTCTCTGGAGAAGCCTGGGTGCAGAGGTAAAAGGAGGGATGGGAACAATTGGTTTCCAAGGCTCCTTCATAACCGTAACTTAGAAGCTTCTACTGTAAAAATTTAAAGACCTCCACTGCTGTCACTTTGTGTACCTAGGAAGCATAGCTACGTGTTTACTCTGTTATTTTAGCAATGCCGTCGTTTTATAAACTTGAGAAGCCCCTTGAAAAGCTCGTACTGTATTTCTTCTCACCCTTACTGAGCTAAGCCTCGGGTAGCCCTAGCAACAAACGCACACACGGGGGCCTGGGGGGAGGGGGCAAAGGTGAGCATCTTCAGAGGCACTTTCTCCTGTAAAGTCATGTAGAAACCCCTGCAGTGTGATGCCTGAGTGGCTCAGTTGGTTAAGCAACTGCCTTTGGCTCAGGTCATTATCCTGGAGTCTTGAGATCCAGCCCTGCATTGGGCTTCCTGCTCAGCAGGGAGTCTGCTTCTCCCTCTACCTGCTGCTCCTCCTGTATGTGCGCATGTGCACTCTCTCTCTCGTTCTATCTCAAATAAATAAAATCTTTTTAAGAAATAAAAGCAAAAATACTTTAAAAAAAAAGAAAGAAATCACCAGAGAATATCCTTGTAATCCAGAAATATTTCTCAGATCTCCAAAGGAATATGAATGGCTACTTAAAAAAAAAAAAAAAAAAAGACAAGAGCAGGCTCACTTAAAAAAAAGGTATTAAACAGGAAATTGAATGAGCTCTAAGCAGACTGTCCATCGGTGAGACAGGGAGGCCAGGAGTTGAAGTTTATGACTTGCTCACTTATTTGAACCAAATGCTCAGGAATAACAGAATTGCTGATGATCATTTGATTCTATGTGTTTTACAGCATATACTAAAGCAACAGAGTACACATGCTCTTTTTACAAACCCCATTACCAAACATGCTCCCAAGTCGACCCAGAGAAGTAGCTCCGTGCTAGACTGGGGGGGCGGGGCTCCACCCCCGGGGGTGCTTTACCTTGATCCAAGTCATCATCGATCTCCTGGAACCTCACTCTTCGTTTTGATGGTTTCTGCTGCATCTGGGCAGGATGGTCTCCTACACCCTCATTCCTCTTCTTTAAGATAGAGACCAGTCCTTCCGCAGGGACTACCTGTCGGAGATGGTTCACAGGAACAGTAAAGAGGCCGATTCTACTCAACAGGCACTGGCATTTCTATTACAGGTTTACCCAACTCCTACAGAAAAAACCCCCATCACAATTAATTATCAGAATCGTTACAACAGAGTAATACTTTGACTTTATGGAGATGACCGCCAAATAACACAGATCTGAAACTCGAGCGGCTGTGCCCCGGCCCAGAGCCGGCTCCAGGGTCCGCAGTCTGATGCAGCGCGCAGGGACCGGAAACACGGTTCCCCGTTCCCACCCGGCTCTCGGTTCCACGTCCCCCGAGGGCCCCGGTAAAATGGTCACTCACGGCCCCACTCTGCTTAATCATGACGGCTGGTGTTTGCCGTATACCAGACGCTGATGCCCGCCACTTCTTCTTCCATTCACCAGCAATTTTTAAGAAACGAACATGTGAGATGTGAAATATACTTGATGCCATGAACTCAAGTACCCGAGATGGAGGGTCGCGTGTTACCGACTGAGCCAGCCAGGCGCCCCCAATGCCAACTCTTAACATCAAAACGGGTGGCAAGCTCAGGTCCTCTGAGACACTATGTATTTATGAAATTAGGCTCTACTGCTCAAAGTATTTTAAGGACTTCTCTTCTGGAATATCTCAGAGCCAGTTTCCTAGGGATATGTTGCTTTGTAATTCCCAGAGGTTGACAGACTATGGGCAGTAGGCCAAGGGCCCCTTGCCTACTTTTTGTAAATAACATTTAATTGGAACACAGCCAAGCCCATTCATCTACACACCCTGTGGGGCTGCTACAACAGCAGAAATGAGGAGCTCCAACAGACCCTAAAGCCTAAAATGTGTACTACTTGGCCCTTTGGAGAAAGAGCTGCCTAAAATCTCCTGTCCCCCACCTCTACCCCTTTCTATGCTGCCTCCGCCCCACACTTTCTTTAGGAACAAAGACAAAAACAAAAACCCTTGCCATTTAGGAGTTCAGAGACTCCACGGTGTAGGGAGAAGGGGATCAGCTGATGGAGCCACGCAGGAAGCAAAGTCCCCCCCTCCCCCACAACAAGCAGCAGGTTGATTCGAAGAAGTTAACCTGTGAGTTGGTCTGATGGCTAAGCTGCAGGTGATGACACAGGTGGGCATTGTGGGCCCAACATGCAGATGTCAGCGACTTGCTGGGAGCAGGTCACTGGAAGCTGAGGGCTCTGCTTGTGATGCCATCTGTCTGATCGATGGCATAAAATACTTAATGCGATTTCCAGCTCCAGCCAGCCATTGCTGATAATGTGCTATGCATAAATATTACTGATCCTGTTCATTCTTTTTATAACTCAAGGCTTTTAGGGCCAAATGACTCAATATAATCTTCTACTGGGCTTCCCTGAACATGGGTCTATAGAAACCATTATCTTAAAAAAAAAAAAAATCAATGTTAGCAATTTATTCTTTTTATAGGAAATGTGTATTTCAGATGATGTCCTTCTTTTGAGAAAACTAAAGCACTTTAGTGACATTAAAATGGAAAGTACAAATATGCAAAGGAACAGACTTTCAAATGTTTCTTTAGAAAGCGACAACATCAAACACCCCCTTTATCCAACATTAAAGAGCCCCTTTCTGCAGCAGCGAACGACTTCATGCACACCACACTGAAACGGAGAGGAAAAGAGTCCTAAGAAATCTCTGAAGAGCAAGAGATGGAAACTGGAAATGACTTCTAATGGCTATATTACTACCAATGATGTATCACTGATATTCTTTTTATTTTTTGTAAATGTAGGAAAAAAGGGGGGGTGAATTTTCATAGCCTCTCTATTTTCATGATCTATTTTCTCCATAAAATAAAGTCATACATTTACTTACAGTGAATTCACCTAACCATAAGTGTTTTCAAGTTGCTTTAAATACTAAGAAAAAAAATCCTATTAATAATTGGCAGTGGGGGAGAAGTGTGTGGATGAGCCCCAGAGTGGCATTACTGTTACCTTTACACCTCTGGAATATGACACTACACCAAAAACTAATGATGTACTGTATGGTGACTAACAACATGAAAAAAAAGACAGTGAATGTGAACAAAGGTATGTTGAAGGACTGAACGAACCTCTGAAGTCATCTGGAAAAACACTGATGTGCTCCCAAGACCCAGCCACCAGTCTTGGTGCACCAGCTGGTAGGTCCCTACCCTAGTCCCTGTTGGCCCCATCTGGGGCATCTGGCTCTGGAAGTCACGCAGTTAAGGACTATAAGCCTTCCCAAGTGGCCCCACCTTATTTACTGTGGGAGGCAATGAACTGTGACAAGTTTTTGAAAGAGGGGAGAAATTACAGTTGTGTGAGATGGGTCAACATTCTGTTTTGACCCCGCCCCCCCACCTAAGCCTTAATTCTTGGCTAGAAATCTAACCACACCTTATACTTTCTTTTTCTTTTCCTCTCCCACCAAAAATCGCTTGTTTCAGCAGATGCACCCCAGTATGAAGTGAGGGCATGTGCTCTTTTCTCTCCTTTGAGTCGGGTTCAGGGACCTCCTCTGGGGAGCTTTCCTTTCTCGTGGCCCTGAATTCCTAGGCTACAGACATGGAACAAGGGATGGTGGGTCCAAGTTTAGGCCCAGGAGATGAATGCCAAGGGGGAAACTCTTAGACTACAATAGGTGGGTGTGGTCCTTTAAGTTTTGGCAAGAGTTTTGGGCAGGAGGGCACCCGGTGGCTCAGTCAGTGAAGCGTCTGCCTTCGGATCAGGTCATGAGTTCTGGGATCGAGCCCTGCATCGGGCTCCCTGCTCAGTGGGGAGTCTGTTTCTCCCTCTGTGCCTCACACTGCTTGTGTTCTCTCGCTCAAATAAATAAATAAAATCTTTTAAAAAAAAGAGAGAGAAAGTAAAAAAAAGGTTTTTGGGCAGGGGTCTTAGAACCTACCCCTACCACAGAAATTCCACCTACCACACCAAGGCAGTCAAACATAAAGTTTAAGAAACAACTTTGGCAGAGTTTTCCTTGATTCTATGGTAGAAAGGCAAGTAAGCCAAAGCAAGGTCAGGGTCTTAGTTGAAGGTCTTATGCAAAAGACTGCCAAGTGTTTCTAAGTAGGTAGAGAAGATGATTTAGGACACACCAGAAGCGTGTCTTCTCCAAACGACCTCCTCACAAAGTTTCAATGTCCCCCCCCCTTTTTTTTTACCACAATGTCAGCATTAAAACGTAAATTTTTAAATCTCAAAACAATAAATCTTTTAAAAACCAAATTTAGCTGTCCACTTCAATTACCAAGTTTCTTTCCTATCTAAACAAAATATAACAGCCCTTCCACTGAGAACAACAACAAAAAAAAGTCTAAGCTGTAATTAATGTAATTGTTGCTGGTGGTACTCCATGAATAAGTGAAGAATTAAAAACAAAAGCAAAACAAAACATCCATCTGGCCTAGTCCCGTACATTTGCAAATAAATAGTTCTACTGTGCGGCCCCTCAAATGTCAATGATCGTCTTAAATAGCATTTTAAGAATTAACTGATCATAAAAAACAAAAATTATGTTGTAACTCCACTGGCACACAGTAAACCTTCTGTGACAAGGAAAATACTGAGAGGGCCTCGCTGTTAGAGCTGCCTGCACCCAAAATTAAAGGAGAAAGCAGACACCACATAAGATTCCTCTAATGACAGAGACTCGCTCAATCCAGAATTTCGAGGCTGGTGAATTTTGGACAGGAACACATGCTTTTTTGTTGTAATGTATTGGATGCTCTTATTAATGGGTTGTAATACTGTTTCTGAGAACTGTCTTGTGTTTCCAGCACTTGGAAGATGCCTTGAATATGTGAATTATAATGTTAAGTGACAGGATTTTGTGTTTTGACTCATCATTTCTCTGTTCTGCTTTTTTCCCACCTCCCCCAATCAAAAAATACTTTAAATTGTCTATTTTAATGCTTGGAAAGCTGTAGTAAACTTAGTCTCCCTGAATTGATAACAGATGATATACTTGAGGTCAGTTTATTGTTTGCCAAGACATTATTTGGGTCTTCAATTTCAAATGATAGAAATATGTTCCACGGGGACGCCTGGGTGGCTCAGTTGGTTAAGCAGCTGCCTTCGGCTCAGGTCATGATCCCAGTGTCCTGGGATCGAGTCCCACATCGGGCTCCTTGCTCAGCAGGGAGCCTGCTTCTCCCTCTGCCTCTGCCTGCCATTCTTGCTCTGTCTGCCTGTGCTTGCTCTCTCTCCCTCTCTCTCTCTCTCTCTGACAAATAAATAAATAAAATCTTTAAAAAAAAAAAATAAAAAAAAAAATAAAAAAGAAATATGTTCCACAGAAATGTTTAAAATGTAAATTATTTTAATTAGCTGGGAAAGGGTCATTCTATTAAATATTTGAATTAATATCAAAGTGAGATATTTAGTAAGATAAAGGAAACCACCTTTGTAGTCTGTCAGTTTCTCTTATAAAAAAAAAAAGTTTCTGACCACCTTGAGAATTAACATTCACAAATCACACTCGTATATTCTAAGTAGCTTACACGCTGGTGAGTTCACTCTAGAAAAATATGTCAAATTTACCGCCACTGTTCACTGAAGGAATGTGATGGTCCCTGCCAGCGCCTTTAGGTTTGGGCTCCATCATAAGACCTGTAATTTGGCCAGTCGGTACACACTTACACAACATGCCACACGTGATCTTCACAACTCTATCACTCAGGCATAATTAGTCCCATATTACAGAACAAGCCAAGCTCAGACACCTCATATAACTTGCTTATTACATTTGTCACACCAACTACCATCAGAGTTTGATACAAGCTTGTTAAACCTCTTGCCCTTTTCTTTATGGGAAGAGATCTTATTTTCTGTGACTATTAAAATTTTGCTTGGTGTCCTCTGTTAATGTTACAATTAAAGTGAGATAAACAGAATTTTCAAATAAGCCTAAGTGGTTTCTTTTGTCTTTCTGAAGTACTTTGTACCTCTAGCAACAAATCCTTACCTTATACACCATTAGCTAATGGCTAAAT